AACAAATTACATGTGATCAGACCCAGTCTTTTTCCACATGCTGTCCCTGACAGGTGCCCAGGCTCACCGTACTCCTAACACCCTACATCAGGTGGGGCAGGAAAAGCTGGAGTTGGCCATGGTGATAGCTTCTGCCAGTAATCCCAGCACTGTGGAAGGCTGAGGCAGGAGGGTTGAAGTTTGAGCACAGCCTGAGCAACTTAACAAGATACTGTCTAAAAATTAAAGAGCTAAAAACAGACCTGGGATGTAACTCAGTGTAAGGGCCAATGGATTCAATCCCCAGTCTTAAATACACTCCCATGTACTTTATTCGGACGTACTGCATAGTGATATTGATAGCATTTCTAGCTGTTCAGGCAAGCGCAGGGGCCAAGGTTTAGTCCCCGGCACCAGCCCCACCCCCACCACCGCGGAGGCTGAAAGCAAGAGGATCACCACGAGTCAGAGCTATGTAGCGAGACTCTGCAATAACCAAATACATTAAAATAATAAGATGTTGGTGCTGGTGAGATGGCTCAGTGGTCTAAAGCACCTATTTAGAACTAAGCTTAGCAAAGCACAGGGACCCTGGTTCAATCCCCAGCACCACATGCCAGCCAGCCCCGCCCCCTGGTGGGCTGAGCTGGCCACACACAGTCACACACAAATAAATAAAAATTTAAAAAATATATATATAAAAAAAAATAATAATAAGATGTTGAACTGTGTAGCCTAGGTTGGCCTTGAACTTGCAGTGATCCTCCTGCCTCAGTCTCCTCAGTGCTGGGGTTATAGGTGTGTGCCACCATGCCCAATTAAGCCACCAATATAGCTGCCCTTCAGTTTCTCTGTTGTAGCTAAGAAACCACCCCAGTGCTCCCGCCAGAGTTTTGTTCCCTAGCTCTCTCACCCAATCCGTTGCCAAGTCCTGTCAGATCTACCCTGGTCTCTATAGGTCCTGTGCCACTCTGTCAGATGGACAGTGACAGTAGCCCCTTCACTAGTGAGCTCGATGTTGCTCTCATCTCTTATTCTCCAGGGGCAGGTGTAGCGCTCTTGTCAGCCCAGTAATACCACTACTGCTTTGGCTTTCCCTTGACTCAGAATCCAGTTCAGACAAGTCACTCTGTCCACAAACCCTAGCATGATCTTGCCCTATTTAACTCGGCACTTTGCTCAGTGTCCTCATCTGTAAATGGAAAGGGTGGCAGCATGTCTCCATAGGAGCATACTAAGAAATCACTTGGTCGGTACAGGTGCAGCTCTTACCGTCTTGCCAGGCACATGGCAGGCGCTCACTGGAGACTTCACACGGCTGCTGCGTTCCAGCTTTACTGCCGCTCCGTCCTTTCGTACTGTTCTGCATGCGGCGTTCTCTTCCTCGGATCTTGGCAGTGCTGTTTGCTTTGATCATTCATGTTACAGTCCAATGTCTCCTCCTACTGCAGGTTTTCCCTGACTGCTCTTTATTATGTTGTTTCTAGTACTTACTACGCCTCATATGTTTCACTTATTTTCTGTCTACCTTGAGCTTCTGGTGATGAGCTACCAAGCTGCAGGGACCTCAGACACTGTTAGAAGTGCCTTTGAGGGGGCCTGCCCCTTAGCTCAGTTCTTTAAGTGGCTGCTTCAACAAAGCAGTCAGGCTCAGGTTGCTGTGGTTCGATCCCCACAACACAAGACAGCCAGTCATGCCTTGAAGGCATTCGCTGCAAAAAAAAGAAGTGCCTTTGAATGAATACGTGAAACTCACCAACCTCTGAATCTAAATAGGGTTGTTTTCCATTTTGATCCAGTGGATCTGGTCCTCGTTAGAGAAAGCGTACTCTAACCATTACTGCAGATTGCCTGTGGACACCTACTTTCTGTTCCTTACCACAACTGTTCCCTGGGCTTTTATTCAGGGACTTTCCTGCCCCTTGCTGGTGTCTTACTTAGACTTCAGGATATCTGTTCTGTTTACTCACCCTGTTGCCCCTCACTTAACCCTTCCAGTCCATTTACCAGCTTTAATCAGACCCTTGAACCTGGTGTGGTGCTGTACCTGTAATCCCAGCATGCTGGGAGGCTGAAGCATGAAGATTGCAAATTAGAGCCCAGCCCAGGCAGTTGACCAAGGGCAAGAAATAAGTAGCTCACTAGGAAGGTCTCAGGTTCACGCTGCAAAACTAAAAAAATGCAGTCCCTTCCTTACATGGCCTCTCTAGTCTGAGCAAATCAAAATGTATCAGAAATCTATTAGCGTAGGGATGTGAGTCAGTGGTAGAGCACTTTCCTAGGATGCTCAAGGCCCTGGGTCCAACCCCAGCACTGCCAAAAACAAAGGACGCAGTAATTGAATGTATAAAGAAATAAATGTGTAAGAAAGCACAAGGGAAGCTGGGCGTGGTGGTACACACCTGTAATCCTAGCATTCAGGAGGCTGAACCAGGAGGATCATTGTGAGTTTGAGACCAGCTCAGGCTACAGCCTGAGCTGCACAGCAAGACCCTGTCTCAAAGACCAAAAAGAAGAAGAAAGTATAAATGTGGAGCAGGGGAAATAGCTCAGTGGTACAGCACCTCCCTGGCAAGCATGAGGTCACTAGTTCAATTCCCCTTATCAAAATAAAAGTATAAGGGTAGTTTCTTATAAACTTCGCAGTTTCTAGTCCTAGGTTTTTTTTGACACCATGCTACTGAATCTAAATCACTTTCTGCTTCAAAATTTAAAATAGTTAAGATACTCTGATACTGGCATATGACAGATACTACAGGGGAATAGAAAAGAGAGCCCAGAAAAAAAATCTTCACATACATGATTAGTTTTTATTTTCAGTACTGAGAATTGAACCCAGCAACTTAACACTGAGCCACGTCCACCCACCCCCCACTTTTTTTTTTTTTTTTTTTTTTTTTTTTTTTTTTTTTTAAGAGAGTCTCCATAAGTTCCTAAATCACCCGGTCTGCATTTGAGCTTGCCATCCTGCAGGGGGATGTAGTTAATGGTATTATCCCTGGGTGGGTGGGTTGGTTGGTTGGTTGGTTGGTTGGTTGGTTGGAGAGAGAGACAGGGTCCCTGGTCTAGCTCAGGCTGGCCGTGAATGTGGACAGCCTCCTACGTTAGCCTCCCCAGTGCTAAGAGTACAAGCATGCCCCACCACACCCAGCAGTATGCTTATGAGGGGAAGACACAAATGGTGTTGAGAAAACCAAATACCCACATGCAAAAATGAAGTTGGGCTGGGGACACGGTGCGTCCAAGGTGTGCTTGGCAGGCTAAAGGTGCTGGACTGTGTTGCGCCTCCCCACCAATAAAAGGAAGTTGTACTTCTAACTTATACCATTTGCAAAAATTGAAAAACCTAAAATTAGAAAAATTCTTGAAAAGAAATGGGAAGTTTCATGTCATTGATTTTTGTAGATACAATGCCAATAGCTCAGAAAATGAAAGATTAAAAAAAAAAAGTGAAAGATAAGTAAAGTTGGCTACATCATAATTAATAAAAAATTTTGTGCATTAAAGGACCCAGCAGTAAAAAGGCAACTGTCTGGATGGCAGAAAAATATTGGCAAGTCATTTGTATGATAAATTCATCAGGAATATGTAAAGAACTTTACAGTACAACAACAAAACGGCCGAACTTTACAGTGGTTAAATGGCTTAAAAATTGGTTCTTCAGAGAAGATATGTAAATGGCCAAGAAGCACATGAAAGGATTCTCTGTGACTGATCCTTGGGGACATGCAAATCCGTACACACTGAGATGTCAGTTCCCATTTCACAGACATTAGTGAGACTTTTAAAAATGAAAAAAAAAAAAAAAAGACTTTTAAAAATGAAAATAGCAAAAAGTAGTGACTAAGATGTGGAGAAGTGAGAACATTTGTGTGTTGATCATATGTATTTAAAATGATGTAACTGGGCTGGTGAGATGGCTCAGTGGTCTAAAGCACCTACTTAGAACAAGCTTAGGAAAGCACAGGGACCGCGGTTCAATCCCCCAGCACCACATGCCAGCCAGCCCCGCCCCATGGTGGGCTGAGCTGGCCACCCACCCACAGCCACACACACACAAATAAATAAAAAATTTTTTTAAAAATGATGTGACTGCTACAAAAAACAATCACAGTTCCTCAAAAAACTGTTAAGTGACCCAGCAATTCTGGTTTTGCATATATACCCACAAGCATTGAAAGCGGTGATCCTAGTGGGAATTGGGGCACTCATGTTCGTAAGGGCAGAGTCCACCATAGCTAAAAGGTGAAAGCAAGCCAGTGTCCTTCAGTGGATGTGTAAATGTGTCCTCTATGTGCTATGAAAAAGGAATTCCATGTGCTAACAACCTAGGTAGATGTTGAGAAGTTTTGCTCAGTGATGAAATTGTAAAACACAAACGATAAGTGGTCAGCTCCTAGAGGGATTGGCCCACAGAGACAGAGTAGGAAGGTGGCCACCAGGGCCTGGGATGTAGACATGAAGTAGTAGTTACTGCTTAATGAGTTTTGGTTTTGGAAGAGGAATTTTGTTGGTGGCTAGTGGTGATCATTGTGTAACTGTGTGAACCAGTACTTAATGCCCCTGAACTATAAACTAGAAATGGTTAAAATGGAGGCTGTATTATATCTTTTTATAGTAGCCCACTCTACGCTGTAAAGTATATTTCTTCCTTGTTTTTAAATTTAATGGCCCAAACTTGCGTTCCAGAACCCATTTTTTGCTACCTCTAATAAAGATGAAACTTTGTCACTGTTTAAAGTATAGGGGAAAAAACAGGAAGGGAATCAAGATTGGGGGGCTATTGCTGGGAGGGAGGGAACAGGGACATAAAATGGAGATCATGGGAGCTGGGAAGATGGCTCAGTGGAATAAGCGCTTCCCTGGCAAGCGCAAGGACCTGAGTTCAATCCCTGGTTCTGCAAAAAAAAAAAAAAAAAAAAAATGGAGATTATATATTACAAACGTTCTAATAAAATTTTTTTAATTTTTAAAAATAAAGTATTTTATCATACAATAAAATTTGTCTCTCTTCTTTTTAGGATATTTTCCTTCCTCGATGTCGTTACCTTGTGTCGCTGTGCTCAGGTTTCCAGGGTAAGAATGGTTGGCACAATTACAGAGCAGCGATGGGAAACCTTTTAGAATTTTCAGTGAGACAAACAGCCCCCTATGGCACACTTGGGTGGGTTCCTCACTACTGTTATAGAGGGGACCCCTTTCTGACATGGAGGACCATGGCCTCCCCAATAAGTTAACTGTGTTTTAGGTATTTCTTGTACATTGTTATGTTTCGGTCAATTACTTCAGCCATGGCATACATATCTTATGTAATTCTATGTTAAGGTTTTAAATACATGTACTCTTCACTAAATTTTGTAACTTTTATTTGCATAATATGAGCAGAAAACATTTTCTGTGAAAAACATTGAACATGTAAATTAAAAAGCTGGATTTAACCTGGAATGGTTACCCACAACTGTAATACCAGCTACTCAGGAGGCTGAAGCAGGAGAATTACAAGTTTGTTTGTTTGTTCTTGTATTTTCTGTATTTAGTACAGGGTCTCAGTACATAGATTGGACTTTAGTGATTCTCCTGTTCTCAGCCTCCCAAGCAATGGGATTACAGGGGTGCACTACCACACCCAGTCTCAATGCCGGCTCAGCACACTCTGTGGGCGGGGCCAACATGGCAGGCTGGGGACTGAACCCCTGGTTCCTGTGTCTGCTTAAGCAGGCGCTTTAATCCACTGAGCTATCAAGTTGGCCCTGAGAAGTACAAGTTTAAGGCAACTCGAACAATTTAGGGAGTAGTCCTCATCTCAAAATTTAAGAGAAGGGCTGCTATGGTGGTGCACACCTATAATCCCAGCATTTAGGAGGCCAAGGCAGAAAGATTGCTGCAAATTCAAAGCCAGTCTAAGCTACTAAGTGGGGTTAAGACTAGCATGAACTGCATAACAAAACACTGTCTCAAAAAGATCAAAAAGAATTTTAAAGTGGGGGCAGGGAGGTAATGCAGCGGCGTAAGCACTTACTCTATTGAGCCATGTCCCTGGCCCCTGATGTGTCTCTTAAATAAATAAATAATTTTAAGAGGAAAATATTTTAAAATGAAGGAAAGAAAAAGATAGTCTGGGAATATAGCTTAGTGGAATAGTGTTGCCTAGCACATGTAAGGCCTGCGTTGAATTCCTGTTACTACATTTTAGAAGTTAGGCTTGGGTTAGGAACGTAGCTCAGTGGTAGAACACTTGCCTAGCATGTGCCAGGCTCTTCAACTCTTAGCGTTATGAAAATGAAGAGATTAGATTTAAAAAATTAATTTTTGAAAAGGTTAGGCTTAAAATTGTTATAGTATTTTTCTAATTCATTTAATAGAAACACATATATATGAATATATATGAGTCTTAGGCATCTAATTCTTAAGTTATTTCCCCATATTCTTTTTTTTTTTTGGTGGAACTGGGGATTGAACTCAGGATCCTGCGCTTACCAGGCAAGAGCTTATTCTACTGAACCATCTCCATGGCGCATTTCCCCATATTCTTAAAAAATGTTAGAATCTTTTTTTAAAGCTGGGAATGTGGGTCAGTGGCAAAGCCTTTGCCTTGCATTCTCAGGACCCTCAGTTCAAACCCCTGGCACGTGAAAATAAAAGTTCCTGAACAAACAAGATTCCTGTTGCATTGTCAAAACAAAATACCCAACCCCTAAAGTTGGAGGAGGAAAGGTTTATTTTGGCTCACAGTTTGCAGCCTCCAAGGGAGGGCATTATGGCACAGGGACGTGACAGAGGAGAGACAGCCCAAGGCTGAGCAGGCAGTGAATAACAGCAGGGAGCCTGCCTTTCTCTTTGGTTTCTTCCTGGCTTTTTCTGTGGTCTCACCCACCTCCCAGGTGTGGCTTCAGTCTTTCAGTAAATCTGTTCAGCCACACTCAGAGCTGTGCTCCCCAATCAGTGGACTTAAGAGTGCCAGGCAGCCTATCCCGGCATTGCACACCCTAGACCCGGCCTGCTCCGAAAGCCTCCTCTCTAGTCACAATCATAGCACATTCCTTTTTTTTTTTCTTTTGTGCTAGGAATCAAATGCAGGACTTTTCGCTTGCCATGCAGACACTTGTGCCGCAGAACTACGTTCCTGGCCCCACATTCCTAAGTTAGCTTCTGTGTTGTACTTGGTAACCAGTTTGTCTGTTGGCATTGCTGTGACAAAATGGCCATGTAGCAAGATTTCCTAGGCTGTCACTAAAATAAAGGGCAAAATATCCATTGTGGGGAAATTACCTTGAGTATTTCTAGTCTTTCATAATAAAAGTAAAACTAACTTAACATATGTACCTACAGTTGTCATCTTTTTATAAATCAAACATCAACTTTTAGTTTATTCATTTAACAGATATTACCAAATAGTTACCAAAAACTCACTTTGGGGGATGCACACTTTTTTTTCCACATGGTACTAGGGGTTAGAGGGCCTTTGCATTGAGCTGTATGTTCAACCCTTTTTCTAAACTTTTCATTTCAAGAGAGTGTCTTGCTAAATTGCCGGGCTAGGCTGGAGCTCATGCTCCTCCCGCCTCAGCCTGTCAGAGAGCTGGCCTTATAGGAGTGTGCTACCGTGACAACTTGAAAGTTAAAGTCAGTATGACAGGAACTTTCTGCATTAAGGTTTGTTTTGTTTTATTTTCACTTGTGCACTTGTGTGTATGATGGTGGTTATGTTAGGGATTTGAAGGGATACTTAGGTCTACTTACACAGATGAATGATATGTTATAACCACATTACATGTACCATGTTACCTTTACAGTATGCATGGAGCAGCCATTTTGAAAACAACCAGTGATGTTTTGATGACTTTTTCTCCCAGTACTGGGATTAGAACCCAGAACTTCACACATGCTATAGACAACACTCCACCACAGAGCTGCATCCTGAGCCCTTCCTATTTGTGCTGTGTTGCCAAAGCTAGACTCTTTAGTCTTTCTGCCTCAGCCTCCTGAGTAGCTGGAATTGCAGGCCCCTTCCTCAAAAAAAAAAAAGCACTGGGGCTGTAGTTGAGTGTAAAGGCCCTAGGTTCTATCCTCACAGGTGGGCAAGTGTAGTCCAGTCTATTCTGGTTCTGGCTGTCAGGCTTATCACAATCTGCCCTTCCCTACTTAAAGATCTGTAGCTATAGGTTTCTGTACCCACTCACTGATGGTGAATAAAGCACGTATCAGACTGAGGCGGCTAAACTGGGATTAGTTACCAGTAGCACTAAGGGATTTTTCAGTGTGCTTTCAAGTCATTGTTTGGTTGATGGTAAACGTGAATATTACTTTTTCTTCATTTCAACTTTGCTCTTTTTACCTCTTTTTTTTTTTCAAAATAGGCCTGGAATGTTCTTGCTCTGGATGGCAGCAACTGGCAGCGAATTGACCTATTTGATTTCCAGAGGGATATTGAGGTATAATTATGTGGTGTGTGGCCCCATTTCTCTTGTTAGTAATTACAGCACGGGGGGACAGATTAGCACCGATTACATAAATCTTATTTTCCCCAGAGAGAGAACTATTTATCTTCAATATGTCTGAAATTCATGGGCATTTTCAAGAGTTTCTTTAGTTTTTGAGGATAAGTGTGATTATTTCATTGAAAAAAATACTAAATTTTTTTTAATTGTACTTGTTTTATTTTATTTTTTTGTAGCCAGCTCAGCCCACCCTGGGAGTGGGGCCGGCATGGCATGTGGTGCCGGGGATCAAACCCCGGTCCCTGGGCTTGCCTAAGCTTGCCTAAGCAGTCGCTTTAGACCACTGAGCTATCCCACTGGCCCAAAAATAATAAATTATTTAGAATACTTTTAGTCCTAAAATAGGACCCCAGATGTTTAGTTTTTGCAAAACTATACTATGAATATATTTTTATGGGAGTGTTTCTGGTTTTTTTGTCTTTTTGAGACAGGGTATTGCTCTGTAGTTGAGGTTGGCTTTGAACTCACTTTGTAGCCCAGACTGGCCTTGAACAGGTAGCCATCCTCCTGCCTCAAACTCCTGAGTGCTGGAAATCCGGGAGTCATTTTAAGGGAGTCATTGTATATTTGTTCATTGAAGAACAGTAGAGTTGTTGGGCTGCTATTTGCATGTGTTCTTTTTTTTTTTTTTTTTGCGGAACCGGGGATTGAACTCAGATCCTTGCGTTTGTCAGTCAAGCACTTATCCTACAGAGCCATCTCCCCGGCCCCTGCATGTGTTCTTGACATGCGCGTTTCAGCTCTTAGAGAAGCAGAGGTATGGTTTTAGTAAAATTATTTAGGGCTGGTGAGATGGCTCAGTGGTCTAAAGCACCTACTTAGAACAAGCTTAGCAGAGCACAGGGACTGCGGTTCAGTCCCCCAGCACCACATGCCAGCCAGCCCCACCCCCTGGTGGGCGGAGCTGGCCACACACACACACACACACACACACACACACACACACACACAAATAAAATTTTAAAAAAATTATTGTGTTTTGGATTTTTTTTTTTTTTTTAAATCTTTCTTTGTTTTCCTTTTTCAGCCAACAAAAAACTTACCAGTCACAATTCAAGTTAGGCATTGCATTGCTTAGGAAACTTTTTCCAGTAATACTTCCCACATGCATAGCTCTGTAGAATGTCGCTGTGCTTGGGTTAGGGCATTACTGGGTGCACACAGACAGTCATGCCAGCGCCTCTCAGCCACGAGTTCCTGAAGGAACATTATAGTTCTGTCTCCGTACCAAAATGAAGTTACGGGCAGGATACATATAGCGAAACTAATCATTGAAAGCTCAGTAGACAGTATGATTTTTAGAGCATTATGTTCGCTTTTTTAAAATTTTATTTTAAAGAGGAAGAGTAAATAGAACCGACTAACAAGCGACAGTACAAATGGTGCAGAATTTCAAAACAAGAATAAAAATTTAACAGCGGTTGTTGTATTACATATTTTCATTATCAGATCTGTTCAGATTAATTTGACTGTTATGCATAGTTGGTCAAATAAACATTAATGCTTATTTTCAATAAACCTTAATTTTTTCTTGTCCCTTTTTACTCTTTAATTTTTTTTTTCTCTTTAAAATTTGAAGTGAGTATACTAATTAATAAGACTTTAGAAATGATACACATTCAGAACAAGATGAGAGAGGTACTCAACTGTGGTTTTTGTGTTGTACTTTGCTGTCTTCAATGTAGTTGCTCAAGTTATAGATAATAGCATATAGTTAGTCAAAGTGAAAATTTTAAACATTAACTGCTACTTTCAAGAAACTGTTGGAAATGAGAACTACATTCATCTCAGCTATCCTGAATATATACTTCCATGATTTTTTGCCCTCTTACTTAGTTGTTTTTTAACTTAATTCGTTTTTTGAGGGGGTTTGTTCTGGTTTTTTTGTTTTTTGTTTTTTGTTTTTTTGTTTTTTTGGTTTTTGTTTTTTTTTTTTTTGTCTTTTTGAGGCAGGGTCTGTATAGTTCACGCTGGCTTTGAGCTTACTTTGTAGCCCAGGCTGGTCTCAAACTGACGAGGATCCTCCTGCCCCACCTCTTTAGTGCTGAAATTACAGGCCTGTGGCACCATGCCCCGCTCTACATGATAGGTCTTATTGCTCTTCTTTTCCCATTCCCTTCCCTTTAGCCTCTCTTGACCTCCTTTGTCACAAGGCTTTGTTTCTATTTTATCTTTTTCTCTTTTTTTTCTTTTCTCTTCCTTTCCCCTTCTCTTGTTCTTAAGAGAAGGTTCTTCCCTTCCACTCACCTCCCCCCCACAAGTAATTCATCTTTTAGTGTATATATAGCCTACTATCTCTAAAATAGAGAAGCAGGGGCCGGGGAGGTGGCTCAGTGGAATAAGCGCTTCCCTGGCAGGCACAAGGGCCTGAGTTCAATCCCCAGTTCCGCCAAAATAAATAAAATAGAAAATCATAACAGTTAAGCTGAAATTAATCTGAATTGAAATTGATGGTCCCTAGTGCTTAGTCAGAGAGTGAAAATAATAGCTTCCTCACAGTGCTGTAAGAATTAAATTAGATACCCACTCAGGCCCCCCTCCTGTCCCTCTCTTGGACAAGAGCTTTCTTTCTCTCAATAAATATATTCTGCTCATTAAAAAAAAAAAGAATTAAATTAGAATTTTTTTTCTTTAAGCTTTAGCAGAAATAAATTTTTTGTAAGCATTTTTTTCTATCTTTTTCCCCCATAATTTTATTGAAAAAAATAGCAGTGAGACAGTTTCAAACCAAATCGGTAGGACAGTTTCAGTAATCAACACATTGCATACATTCTTCCTAGTGGTTAATTGTACAAGATGTGGACATGATATCCTATTTACAAACACTAGTAGAACAAATTCCTCTATTCATTAAGAGAATGTAACTATATATCCTAACCATTTTGAATACACAGACACAAAATGGACATTCATCTGTATCCCCTTTTTTTGTTTAGTTCTGTTATTTGAATATTATAGGTGTGCTAACTCAGCAAAATATTCTAAGAGTCCAGTAGCCCATAATAGTAACTTTTTATTTTTAAGACCAAAATAAAATAGGTCCTGCTTTACCTTGGTCTTAACCATCCAGCAGAAAAGTATGAAGACGAAATTATAAGAAATAAAGCCATGCT